GGGGGGCTGTTCCAGGTGCATGTGTGGGGGTGCTCTGTTGGGGGGGGCTGTTGCAGGTGGAGGAAGGGGGGCAGGGTGCTCTGTTGGGGGGAGCTGTTCCTAAGGATAGAGGGTGAAGGGGGGGTGTCCTGTTCCTGGGGCACCTCTCTGTTCTGGGCAGGGGAGGGTGAAAGAGGGGACACCCTGTTCCAGTGGGGAAAGGGGTTTTGCACTATTCTGGGTGGGGCACCCCCAGTTCCCATGGGGAGTTTCAGGGAGGGGGAGTGTCATGGATTCCCAGGATTGGCACTACACCCCAGTTTTGGAACAGGCCTTAGGAAGAGCCCCTGTTTTGTGCCAGACCCCCTGGGGTCTCCCTCTCCCTTCAGGCCAGGCCTCACACCCTCCTGGCCTGAGCCCTGGCCTCCAGAACCTCTGCATCCCAGGCTGAGCTCTGCTCAGTAGGTCCAAGCAGACACCTTCCTGCTTTGTTAATAATAATATATTGAGATATACCTATCTTATAGAACTGGAAGGGACCCTGAAAGGTCATCGAGTCCAGCCCCCTGCCTTCACTAGCAGGACCAAGTAATGATTTTTTCCCCAGATCCCTAAGTGGCCCCCTCGGGGATTGAACTCTCAACCCTGGGTTTAGCAGGCCAATGCACAAACCACTGAGCTGGCCCTCCAGCTGGGGGCTGTGCCAGGGATGGGGAAACCTAGGCTGAACCTCCCGGCCCTTCCGCTCCCCTTGTGTGTCTGACTCCTTGAGCAACACGGGTTGTTTCAGCCAGTCCTTTAATGACCCATTCATAGCACCCAACAGTCACCCAAAGGCCTCAGCTCTCCAGCTCTGCTTTACACTGTCCATAACTGGGCGCAGCACAGAGAGAAACGAAGGGACACCCAGGAATCCCAAAACTCGGACTGAAATTCCCAAAGTCCATGAAGCAGCAAATAGCAGCCGCCAGGTTTTATTCACCCAAACCCCCAGCCAGCCCATCCCATCCCTCCACCCCGCTGCACCACCAGACACACTCTGGAGCCAACACCTTTATTGCCAGTGGGGGCCAGGGTGGGCCTTCTCCCCCTGAGGAAAGTTCATGTGAGAGCATCTCCCCTCCCTGCCTGGGACTCCCCCAAAGCAGCTCCCACCATGTCACCCCTCCTGGGGGCCTGGGGCCAGGCAGGGGAACCTACAGCTCAGCTGCCACACCTGACTGCAGAGTAGCAGCACCTGAGATAACTGGAGGGAGGCACTAGCAGGCGAGGTAGGGGGAAGCTTGAGCCGTTTCTTTCCAGGAGGCCCTGAATCGCTGCCTGCTCAGTAAGGTAAAGGGGCCTTTGGGCCCTGCCCAGCAGGAGCAGCAGTGACCTGCCCCTTGGTCCTACAGCTCGGAGGAAGGTGCCCCATCGCAGGTTAGATGTGGTAGTAGGGAGGGGGCGAGAACGGAGGTGGTCCTGTGGTTTAGCCTGCTGCGTACTCCTCTCTAGCCCCAGCCCTTTCCTCCTGCTGCCGGCATCACGGGTTGAGCAGAGCTTTCAGGAGCTGTGGGAAGTTGGGGGTGCCCCAGCCTGAGACGGGGTCCCAGGAGGGGCCAGCACAGAACCCCTGCCCTTCCACTGCTGCATCCAGACACGACAGGTGGCAGCCCTGGGTGACCTGGGGAGTCAGAGAGCTCAGTAAGTGCACGCTACAGCTGCTAAGTGCCCCGACCGCATGCAGACAAGCACCGAGCCAGGTGCAGGGGGACGGGGAATCACTGCCCCGCACAGCGGGAGTTCCAGCTACAGGACACTCCAAGGCTGGAGCTGGAAAAGCCCCAGGCAGGCCGCCCCCTCCCCTGGATCCAGGACAAACGTCTCCCTCCACCCTTAGACAGGACTCGTCTCTCCAGCCCCCAGGCCTGGGTCCTCCCCTTGCACGGAGCCCACGGCTGCTGACACTTCACCCCTCAGCCCCACTCACGTCGTAGAGGGCAGCAGTAGGCCCCTTCTGCAGTTTGTAGAGCGCCGGGTTCAGGAAGCCCAGAGGCGGCAGACCTTTCTGCAAACGGCGGTCGTTGATCAGGGCCATAATGCCCCCTACCACGGGGGTGGAGGCCTGGAGGGGGGGGGGAAGAAAGGTGCGTCAGGGCCCTGGGGACGTCGGGGGGCTCAGAGCCCACGGCCCAGCCTAGGGCTGCTCCTTACCGATGTCCCAGACACCCAGGGCAGGGGGATGCGGTTGGTCACCACCCAGTAGTTGTCAGAGAGGGCAGCCAGGTCGGGGTAGGCACGGCCGCTGCTGTTGTAGTAGGAGAGGGGTGGCAGCTTTGGGGCTGAGCGCAAGAAATTCCTGACAGCCGCAGCCTGGAAGAGACAGTCAGATGGGGAGGGAAACCTCGCAACTGGGCCCTGCCCCTTCGCCCCACCCCTTCCCTCTGCCCCTCACCCACCCCCCAGCCACAATCCTGCCCCTTCCCCCCAGCCCCACATCCACCCCCAGCCACCATCCTGCCTCTTTGCCCCACCCCTTCCCCCGCCCCACACCCACCTCCCAGCCGCCATCCTGCCCCTTCCCCCCACCCCATCCCCTCACCCACTCCCCCAACCTGCCAGCCACTGCGCTGCACCCCCCACATCTCGGTCCCAGCCCCACGCACCTGGTAGTCAGGCATAGGGAAGACGTTGCTGAAGCCCCCGCCGCTGATATAGTCCGTCACCTCCCAGGTCACTCGGAAGGGGTTCTTAAAGGCTGTGCCACCCACCGTGGTCACATAGGGGCTGTGGGGACAGGTGGGGGGAGCTGCACTGGCCAGGCCACCAGAGACAACTTCTCACTGGGGGGCCAGCAGCTCCCACTAACGGAGAAACTAATACCGCAGGAGCCCCCACTTCTCTGGCCTTCCAGGCCCCACTGCCCCCTAGAGCTGGCAGTTCTCAGGGCTCCCTCAGGCCCCCAGTTCTCGGTTCTTCTGCATAGGTCTCTAAGCCCCTTTCCATTCCCTGGGGAACCGTGCTGCCTGCCCTGCCCCTGCCCGAGATTCCCCTCCAGCCCTCCCCCGTCCCGCCCGCCCCCGACTGGCCTTCCCCCCCAGACCTGCCCCTGCCCTGTCCCACCCACCTTCCCCGCCCAGCCTGCCTTCACCTCCAGCCTTCCCGCGCCGCCCGCCCCCCCCAGCCTGCCTTCACCTCCAGCCTTCCCACGCCGCCCGCCCCCCCCAGCCTGCCTTCACCTCCAGCCTTCCCATGCCGCCCGCCCCTCCAGCCTTCCCTGCCTGCCCCACCAGCTTTCCCCCGCCCTGCCTGCCCCCACCTGGCCTTCCCCTCCAGACCTGCCCCCGCCCAGCCTGCCCTGTCCCATCCACCCCACCTGCCCTCCCCGCCCAGCCTGCCTTCACCTCCAGCCTTCCCCGCCTGGCCTCCCCCCATCCAGCCTTCCCCCGCCCAGCCTGCCCTGTCCCACCTGCCCCGCCAGCTTTCCCCCGCCCTGCCTGCCCCCATCCAGTCTTCTCTCGCCGCCTCCCCTGCTCTCACCCTCCCATCTTGTCTGTGTTGTTGCTCCCCCAACAGGTGCATCTCTGCCCCAGCAGCCCCAAACCTCCCGGCTGGGGCTATGCCAGGAGCACTCAGCCCAGGGCAGAGCAGGGCCAGGAGCTGTAACAGACTGCGCCGCCCCCCGGCTGCTTGGCCAGGGTTACAGCATTGTCTGCCAGAGACTTCCCAGCCCCCCCCCCACCCCCGTTACCTGGAGGCTGGGAAGCTGGGCCGGAAAGCGTGGCTCCCTCCAGCAAGCTTTCTGCAGCCAGCTCCAGCATCACCTGCAAGGCAGGAGTACGGGATCAGCCTGGCCCGTGAGGCATGGACACTGGGGCCAGGGGGCATGGACACTGGGGCCAGGGGCCAAGCACCCATCTCCCCACCCCAGTGCTGCAGGGAGGGACCAGGGGGACTCCTGGGTCCCAGCAGGATCCACGCGCTCCCAGGGAGGAAGGCAGCCCAGGGCAAGAGGTGCTGGCAGGCTGCGTGTACCTGAGGCGAAGAGCACAGTCAAGCCCCGCGCAGCAGCCTTCATGAACTCCACATTGACGCGCTCCATGTAGGCCCAGGACAGGCTGTCCTCATCGTCCCCGTAGCTGACCGAGTGCACCCAGGGCACCGAGGACATGTTACTGAGCAGCAGCAGCCAGGCCAGGAAGGGCTCCTGGCTCTCATGCCTCCCTGCAAGGGGCAGCAGAGAAGGGGTCAGCCCCCATCCGGAGCCTCCATCCCCATGGGGCAGAGCAGAGAAGGCCCAGGAGAGGGAAAGCCGTGCAGGAACACAACGTGGGTTAGAGTAATCCTAGCCCCCAGGTCTCATCCTGGGCACGAATAGAGATGCTAGAATATCCCTGCCAGAGCTGTTACTCGCTACACTCACTGCAGCCAGAGAATGGCCAGTCCCTCTTTTAGTCTGGCTAAGTCCTTGGCCTCAGAGGCATCCTGTGGCAGTGAGTTCCACAGGCTAATTACATATACCATGAAAAAGTATTTCCCTTCCATGTCACTGATTTCCCTCTCTCTCAGCACGGGGACAAACAAAAGCCCCCAATCGCCCCTTCTCTTGACCAATCAGTAGTGATAGACTTTTCTCATGTCACTTCTCATTCGTTTCACTTCTCCCAGTGGTTTCAATCTCTCTTGCACCCAAGAGAGAGAAAAAGAGCTGGCCAAGGAGCTCCCTGAACCACTCATGTTCATTTTCAATCAGTTCTGGAGCACTGTAGGGGGGAAGATCCACAGGACTGGAAGAAAGCTCACGTTGTGCCAATATTCAAAGAGACTGTAAATGGGACAGCCAGGGAAATTGTAGGTCTGCCAGTGATCTCAAGTAAGATAATGGAGGGGCCGATACAGGACTCGATTAATAAAGAATTAAAGGAGGATAACAATTAATACCAATCAACGTCGGTTTATGGAAATTAGAACTTGTCAAATGATTTTTTTTTTCTATGAGATATGCGTTTGGTTGATAAAGGGAATAGTGTTGATGTAATATCATTAGCTTTGTCAGGCGTTTGATTCAGTACCGCATGACATTTTGATTAAAAAACACCTAGGAAGATATAAAATTAACATGGCACACATTCAACTGATTGAAAGCTGGCTAACTGCCACGTCTCAACATGTAATTTAAGCTAGGAATTATCAAGCAGGTACATTTCTAGTCGGGACCTGCAGGAATCAGTTATTGGCCCTACACTATTTCACATTTGTATCAAAGACCTGGAAAGAAAAAAATTGTTACTGATAAAATTTGTAGATAGACGAGGTGGGCAAGGTGATATTTTCTATTGGACCAACATCTGTTGGTGAAAGAGACGAGCTTTCAAAGTACACCGAGCTCTGCTTCAGGTCTTCTGTCTCTTTCACCAATAAAACGTACGCTCACCCATCTTGTCTCTCTAGTATCCTGGGACCCACACGGCTACAACAACAGTGCAGACAAAGTTCGTGGATGACACAAAGATTGGGGGAGGGGTAAATAAAAAGAACAGTGGTAAAAAACCCATTGGTACCAGAACTAGGGGTGCAGCAGCACCCCCTGGCTTGAAGTGGTTTCCATTATATGCAAGGTTTACAATTTGGTTCAATGGCTCTCAGCACCCCCACTATACAAATTGTTCCAGCGCCCCTGTAAAAAACTACGACGTGATTTGGACTGCTTGGTAAACTGGGTGCCAACAAACAATATGCATTTTAATCTGGCCAAAGGTATACTTGTAGGAACAAAGAATGCAGACCATTCTTACAGGCTGGGCACTCCAGTCCAGGCTGCAGTGTCTCTGTAAAGGAGTTGGGGTCATGTTGGACAATCAGCTGAACATGCCCTCCCAGTGCGATGCTGTAGCCAACAGGGCTAATGCGATCCTTGGATTTATAAACAGGGGAATCTCAAGGAGCAGCAGGGAGGTTATTTTACTGCTGTATTTGGCACAGGTGCGACCGCTGCTGGAACCCTGTGCCCAGTTCTGCTGCCCACAAATCCACATGGATGTTGAGAAGTGGTGCAGGGTTCAGAGATGAGCCAAAAGAATGATGTAAAGATTGAAAAACCTGCCTTATAGTAACTGAGATCATTAACAAAGGGCTGGTCTAAGCGGCGAGTTAGTGCCATCAACCCTGGGTGTGAATCTACCGCACACTCATTTGCCACGTGGACCCTGCTACAGCAAAGTACAAGTTCCCAGTGCGCTTTCCTGTCCATCGAAGTGCAGGACAGAACTTCCAGTGCATGGGGCCACACGGCAAGCTGGTACGCTGCAGAGTCACACCCTGGCGTGCCGTGCAACAGCTCGCTGCGTAGATGAGTCAAAGAGAAGGTTACGGGCTGACTTGATCACAGTCTATCAGTACCTACATATGGAACAGCATTTTCATAATGGACTTTTTAGTCTAGCAGAGAAATGGACAAAAAGAACCAGTAGCTGGAAGTTAAAGCAAGAAATTTACACCGGAAATAAGAAAAACACAGTGAGGATAATAAACTAGTGGAACAAATTCCAAGAACTGTGGTGGATTCTCCATCCCTGGCAATTCTTAACTCAGGACTGAGGTCTGGCTGTCTAGAAGATCTGCTCTAGTTAAACAGGAGTGAAAGCCGTTCTCTTGCTTGGTTTAGGTCAGACAGGAGGATCTCAACAGCCCCTCTGGCTTTATAATCTGGAGATTTTCACCTTCCTCTGAGTCCCTTGAGTTCTGCACCAGCCCGGATGAGATGGGGCCAGTCCCGCCATGTCCACATGAGGCCACACAGCTGCCTCACACCAAGGCAGCAGACTAGTCTCTGCATAGTTCTCTCCGCTCCTATGCAGCGGAACACCTACACCTTGTTTATTTGTCCAAACCTGGGCATCGAGCAGAGGTCTCCATTGCACTGTCTACAATGAGCCCAGGTCCCTTCCCTGATCTGAAGGGGTTAATTTGGACCCTGTAAGGGGTAGGAGTATACACACACACCCCTCCCCCCTCGCGAATTACTGTGCATTTGAAATGGGATTTCATCTGCGGTGGTGCTGCCCATTCCCCTGGCTGGGTTTGATCTCTCTGAAGTTCCACAGTCCCCTCTGCTCCTGACTCCCCGTCTTCTTCTCTCCCACTTTCCTGAGCACTAATAAATACATCACCCAAGATGAGAGCTAGTCCAGAACCTTCAGCCCCTGCTGTGGGGAGAATTTAACCCAACTCTTCGCTTTCTGTCTCCTGACCAGTTCTGACCCCGCCCGGGCAGAACTTTGCCTCTTACCCCCCGTGACTTAGGGGCGACCCTGGCAAAGGCCTTTTGCAGCATAAATAAATTATGTCGCCTGGTTCCCCTTTACCCGCGTGACAGGCTCAAAGAGCTCAGTCCCCCCTTGGGGCACCAGAGAGATGGGGCCAGCTGCCTCCAGCTGGGAGGGAAGGGGGGGGGGGATTTATGGAAATTGCTTCGGGTGGAGATGCTGGCAGAGGAAGAAGATACCAGCAGCGTGGAGGAGGGGGTCGGGGGTGGCAGAGGGGC